AATGTAGGGAAGCAACCTGTGCAGTCGTCTGGAAAAGGCGGGTGTAGATCTTGGGGGGGGGTGACCATATATATATATATATATATATACATATATACATATGTATGTGTATATATATATATATAAATATAGATATGATCCCGCCCTAAAACATGAAATATTAATGATAGTATCCCCAGCCCCCAATTACCTACCCTTTTCCTGCCTTTCCTGACCAAGTTGGCTTTATTGGGACCTTCCATGGTTTTGGGCTCCTAGATCGCATGAACATGGGCACCTCTCAGAAGAACCAGACACAACATGCACTCTAGTCGGAAGCAATGGAAATACCAACAAAAAATGCAGGTTGACTCGAAAAGTTAAGAAAATCAATAATTCGAAAACCAAGAAACCATGAGTTTCAGACTATCGAACATGGAAACACACAAACAAAAAACATTGGAAACAACAAGCGCCCACACACCGCGCAGAAAGCGTTCGAAGATCCTAATAAAAATGGCACGCACGGAGCCCACAACGTTGGAAAAACCTATAACATGGCACAAACGGGGCCTCAAACATTGGAAAATCCAACAAAAACATTTAAAATAACACACGATGTTGAAGTTATCTGGAAGCGTGACACCACCTAAACGGGGTTGTTTGAAAATCAGGCCGTCGTTGGTTTTTCCAATGCTTTTGCTTTTGACACACGGAAACATTGGAAAAACCAATATACATTGCACACACAGAGCCTGAAACTTTGAAATGATCAATAAATAACACGAACGCACACACACACACACACAGAGACTAAGCTCGAAGCATTGGAAAGCAATAGAAATTGCAGACACAGAGCCTGAAACTTCAATAGCAAGCATAGCAAACTGGGGGCAGCATCTGCCTTACTACCTTGCAGATTCCATTTTGAAATTGGTCTTGGGACACGTCGCAGTGCCCAATACCTCTATAAATATCTGCTTGATGCCTCAATGATGCTTGGTTTTGAATTATGCGACCATGCCTAACTAATGGCACTGGTTTCACCAAGAGGGAAGGCTTGAACTTGGCATCCGTTGAATATTCGCTTAACCTTTGGTGTTCACACAAAGCACCAAAAGGCTCATTCAATCCATAGTTCATCATACATAACAGATATTCAAGCAGTGCTTACCATTCGCACAAAAAACCTCTCGTCTGTGTAATACTCGCCGGGTGCTGCATGTTTGCACATACGTCGTTCGCTGAAAATCAAAATTGGAAGATTTTCGTTTAGGGCCCAATATCGACATAGTCTTGTGGCAGTACCTCACAAGTATAGACTACTGCAATAGTTAAGGCTCATCGAAATACTCGTTTGATGCCTAATCGCTGTTCAGTGCCGAGTTCTCCACGTACGCGTAAGTATCACTCTAACCAAACGCAACTTCTAAGTAAGTACTCATTCAATACTCGTCGAACATGTGATGCTGACATACAACTTAACCAATGTTCCACTACTATATGTTTCAGACCTACATGACATTAAGATAGTGTGCAATAGGTTCGGATAACAAGATAACGCAATCGCAACGTAACTGTTTCTTGCAGCTGTGAAGAAATGAACAATACTTCCTGGATGTCTAACCCACTAGCAATTCCTTTGTTGAATATTTCAGTTTATTTCATTAATCGGTAAACAACGCACAGTTATTCACGTATTGTTCAAGTTATGCAGAAGGAACTTTAAAGATGAACATAATGCCGTCGCTCGTAAATACTTGGTGCACATTTGCATGTTCTTGCGCTATCCCCTTCTCAATGAAGTCATTTAAGCCGTAATCACTAGACTTTCTAAGAAGACGTTAACACGTAACTGCTACGCCGTGACTGATTATCTGTCCTTTTCTGGCTGCGGCACCGTTTAGCTACCCTTGCAATTCTGTTATCTCAATATCGTCTGGCTTGAGCAGTATATAGGTATGAGGCAGAAGAACATGAACATTCAACATCACTGAATATCTGCTCTAACAAAAGCCAAAACACACGTATCGCAAACGCTGTTTCGCAGTGCAAGTGTAACGAATGGCGTATTTAATAGCTGCGGCCAGTGTCTGTGCACAGGATGTTCTCGCCACATGGACATAAATATATAGACATAGATATGTGCATACATGCACGTACATCCCCATATTTAAGCACATGTGTATATAAACCAACCCAATTGAAAATACACAGATGTAGTATGTCAAAGTTCCTACACCCCAAACCCCACGCCCATCAGAACCATGTTTTTGCGAACTGAACACTGCGGGATGACCACCCAAAAAAAACAAATCGAAGCGGAATACACGGGGAGGCACCGGGAGCACAACACAAACTGCAGCAGCATGCAACAACAAGCCGTTTGCCCCCAACACGTGCGTTCAGATATTGGTCATCAGATGTATACACAGAAATCATAAAAGCATAAACCCAAGACACACTCTGGACAATGACAAATTGCAGATGAGGCACATTCAGCTTTGCACCCGCTAGAGGAGCATTCGAAGCGCTTCCTGATAAGCACAAAAAAGGCATGCTGTCGCCACAAGACTGCGCACCTATGTTTGTGAAGCGGCTAATTTCCAAACCAAAGCTGGTCTTTGCTGGTTCATTTGTATGTCAGCGATCTCGCGCGACAGGGCCACCAATGCTGTCGGCTCTGGAAGTGCTGGAGGAGCCAGCCCTTCCCTTCCCAAAGGAGTGTCCGAGCTTACCATGCACTGAGGCAGGAACGCGTGTTGGGCCGTTTTCTCCCTTGCGCTCTAGCAAAACGGCCGTGGTCGTTTGGCACAGACAGTTGGCTCAAACCTCCTAATCTTTACAAGGCCTACGGCTAGACTACGGCTTCACGGCGCCCATAAGCCCGAAAAGTCCAGAGCCCTCAATCCCAGCGTTCTCAAATCCAACCCTGAAGAGCGAGCCCTCGATTAAACATCAAAACCTCAGCCCTAAACCTTACAACCTCAAACCTTTGTCCTGCGTTCTGTCTGATTTGAATCATGCCCTGTATATTCTCTGGGCCTTAGCCAGCTATGATCTAAGCCGTGGATATCCCATGATCTGTTTCCGTGATTCGATATGTCAAAGACAGTGGTAGCTCTAGGGCCCCTCTGAGCTCGCCGGACTATGACCGCAGATCGCTGCACCTTTTGTGCTCTCGCTGAGCTAAGTCTGGGGGCCTGCACATCTTGGGCCAGTAAGTCTGAGAAAGCGGCAGCTGAAGTCTGGAAGCAACTGTCACTCACAACAGCTCGTCTGTTTACAGCTTCCAGAATTCTCTTTGATTCCAGACTTCTTGTGGCGTACTAGAGCAGCTTGTGCTTTCAGCACCTTGCGCTTTTCAACTTCTTGCTCCTCTGCCACAATGCGCCACCGCCCGCTTTCGATCACTTGTATGAGTGGCTCGGCATTGCCACCCAATTTCGTTAGGGCGTCCACAAGCATGCGATTGTGATCGATCCATCGAATCGATGCTCCTAGCTCCGAAAGAGTTTGCCTAATGATCTGCATCTCGATAGCGGTGCGCCGATCCGAGGTATGACCACAAGTCTCCTTAGACAAATGATCATACAAAGATTTAGCATCTACAACCGCCAGGTGCTGCTGTTTCTCTTGTTTCCCCGGAATGACACACAGCTTCCGATGCTGAAGAGATCGCTCCCACTCTTTGAGCTCGAAACCGGCAGACATCAGCTCATTAAAGAGAGTGACGCACCACATGAGATCTCCGAGTGCTCTGGACAGACTCATGCTCTCAGCAGCCAACGTGGAATTAACAACCCGATGAATACGGCCCGATTTCCAATATAAGATATTGCAATCGACTGTCTCTCCTCGGTGAATCCCAGTGTTGAAAGCAACTACGCAGTGCCCGCGTCACTGACGACTCCGAAGCCGATCTCGCTCTCCGGAATGCCCTTCACTTTGATGCACAGTCCGGCCGATGCTTTGGCTCGTTTAACCGTTCGGTTGATATCCTTCAAATCTTTGATTTTCAAATCGGGCACCCGGCTTGAAAGGATACTCACCTCTCCCGCTAGGTCTGGGCGCCCTTCTCTCCCGAGCCAGTTCAGGGATCCTAAACCAGCCCTGCCTTCAGAGACCTCGTGAGCTGTAGCACGCTCGTCGTTGGCCTTGCCGACGACGTTCACGGGCGCCAGCCTCTCCTCGATGAACTTCTGGAGATCATAGGAGAAGCTGAAGTCACGGCCCTGTTTCATTCGTCGGCCGTTGAATCCAACGCCGTCCTCCGCCTCCTGCTGGAGGTATTTAAATTTTCCGAAAGTGAAGCGCTGGCGCAAGAGGTCAATCTGCTTGTAGTGCTCGTCATCCCCGGCCGTCCACAAGTCATCGACCTCTACGATGACTATGCCTGCGACGCGACGCTCCCGCTTTAACAGGAAGAGCGTTGGGTCCATCACAGACTGCACAAAGCCCAGCTGCTGCAACACCTTCTTGAGGCTCCTTCTCCAATGTGCCGGCGCATCGTTGAGCCCGTAGGCTCCAGCCACTATCTCTAGCAGCTGTCCTGCTTCCAGGCCTTTGAGTCCGCCTTCAGGTTGTCGTGCAAAGAGGCGCCCCTCCTTCCGATGCAAGGCTTCCGACTGGCAGAATGCGTTCCGCAAGTCTCCCACAGAAGCCCGCCATCTGCGGGTTGATGCCACTTGCATCGCCAGTGCCAACGTCAAAGAACTGGCCGTCGGGGCGTGTCTCTCTAAGCTGAAGACATCCGGGTCACAGTCTCCCCTGATGCACAGCCTCGACTTCCTCGTCGCGGCCTCCCCTGGGAGTTCCCCAGGTTTGTAGCGTCTCACCATTCTAGTGGGGAGCACCCTGTTCAGCTTGTTAGCCGCGGCCAGCTCCTCAAGCACCCTCTGGGATTCCTCAACGGACAAGGCCTTGATGGCCCCGGTGGCCGCACTTTTTCCCATTCTGTGCAGTCGGTGTCTCTCCAGGCGGCCGCGTCCTCGGCCGGAATCGACTTCACCTCGTCGCCGCCGCGCTTCTTGACGATGTAGGCCTTGAGCACTTCTTGGTTCGCCAGAGCGTCGACGGTGAACTCGGTACGCCCACGCCACGACCTGAGGGGCTTCGCTCTCGAAGCTCTGCTGCGCCACTTTCCCGTCTCCGTTGACTGGGTCCCGTCTTCGTACTCCAGAAAAGAAGTGCTCACCTCGCCTATAGCAAGGACGCGGGAACAGGGCACCCCTTTCCCCCGTTCGGCTTGAAGTTGCCGTACCTGGAGTGCTGATGCCAACGGATCAGAACGTTAAGCTTCGGATCCCACTCCCAGTAGTCGCTGATGGTGGCGTTCTCCTCGACGAGGTCGTCGAGGTCACTCACCCAAGTAAAGCCGATTTCTCGCGACCTCGGGTCGTACGGACTTGGTCGGCCTGCCCTGTGCTCCGCGGGCCCGTAGGACTCTGTGCTTCCCAACGGGGCGGTTTCACTGACGACACTCGCTTCCTGTTCCGGCTCGGCGGCGGCGCTCTGCCTTGACTCCCGCCTCTCTGCCTCCGCCCGCGGTGCGGGTGCTGTGCTCGGTGGACCGCTTGTGGAACTCGAGGAACTGCTCGATGAGCTCGTCGAGGAGGTTCCCGAACTCGCCGCTCCGTCCTCGCCCTCGGGCTCGGCTGCCCGCGGAGGTGCCGTTGAAGAGCGCGGTCGAGGGCCCGATCGTGGATCTTCTTCGTCTTCAAAAGTGACCCTACGCTTACGATCAACTCGCGTATCCTCCGGCTCTGGCCCGTCTAAGTCTGGGAAAGGTTCACTGGTGATGTCTTTGAACGCTTCTCGGCTCTCTTTCCTAGACAACTCTTCCTTAAGCTCGGCTAGCTCCCCACGTAGCAGATCTTGAGCCTCCCGCTCCATGGACGTGGCTTTACGAACCTGCTCTTTCGCTGCTTTCCACAACTCTCCTCTCATCGAAATCCACAAATTCGGTCCTTCTTCGGACAGCACCTGTCCTGGTCCAACCCATTGGGGCTTTCCACTTTGCTTTCCTTCGGACATCTCTCTCCGCGAAGCTTCCTTCCGCTTGCGCTCCCGAGGCTTGCGGTACACATACACCAAATCCCCGGCCCTGAACTCCTCGACGGCCCTTGATCGCGCCCTTGATGCTCTCGCGCGCGCCTCCTTGGCCTTCAACTTCACAAAAGCCTCGGCTGCGATATGCCGAATCTCAAGCACCCGGCGCATCTCGCCATTGGCACCTCCTTCGACGAGCTCCGCATCCAGGAGGTCGCCGCTCATCAAACATCCTGGTATGCGAGGTTGGGCTGGGGTAAAGCCGCTCCTGTGGTACAGCCTGTTTTTGGCTGCTTCGGTTTCCCGCAATGCTGTCGCCCACTCTTCCTTTGTGGTTGGGCAAACCTCGTCGCGAACTCGCTCAAACAACAA